TATTCAATTGAGTTTATTTATGTAGCACCATTTCACAACACGTCATCTAAAAACATTTTACAAGGACAATTCAACCAGATCATACAGTCAAATTCATGAAACGTTTTTTTATCTTAAGAGAACCAGTTAATTGCATCGACTCATTGACTGGAAGGGAATCCCTCGCACTTAGCATGCTTGTATCGATAGTAAAGATGAAAAACTCCCTTTTAACAGGAAGAAACCTCCAGCAAAAATAGGCTCAGTGTGAGCGGCCATCTGCTCAGGTCGACTGGGGTTAAAGGAGACAGAAGCAGACATACAGAAAGAAGCAGTGATACAAAAGGCAACTGTCAACCAGCTCCACTTGTGGCCCCGTCCAGGAAACAGACAGCCAGGCAGACGAGCTCCTAGCTAGCCCCCATGTCAAGGACTAAAAGAGCATATCCAGTAAGTCACAGACAGAAAAAAACAGACTACACTGAACTATACGCTGAGCTTAGTCCTCTATAAACAAAGGTGTATTTCTCTCCAGGATGGAGTCACAGCCAAACGGAACAGACCAGATGAAGCTACTATGAGAAAAAGCAGAGCGAGCATAATGTTATTGAATTAACAAATTCTGCAGAGTGGGAGAATAGAGATAGAATGAAGCAAAATGAAAAATAATTGTTCCTATGTCCTCCACCAGTCTAAGCCAATAGCAGCATAACTATCGAGATAGCTCAAGATAACCTCAAACACTCTAACTATAAGCTTTATCAAAAAGCCTACACTTTAAAGTAGACAGTGTCTACTTCACAGACTAAAACTGGTAGTTGGTTCCACAGGAGAGGAGCCTTGTTCTTATTTTGGACAAAGCAAATAGGTGGTTAAGTTAAGAGATAAAAACAAACCTTAAACAGAGGGGGTGGATTCAGATTCCTGCTCTCAAAAACGTACAATTCAGCAATTGAGTGTATTTGTCATCGCAATCCACATCCCATTAAAGTGGAACAGAGCACCTCCCCTTTCCAGCCAGGTGAACAATCCCCTTTAACAAACACCCTTTCAGAATCATATAAAGATTTCGGGTATTACAGAGTAACAATAGAACCAAACAACCATCATTCTAAAGGGGTTACTACTCATCAGGTTAAATTTGCATGTTTCTAAGCAAAAACAAGGCTTTGTTTTAGGTCCACTTTATAAAGCCCCAAACTCAATGCCAATCCAGACATTTTGAATCGAGAAAGCGTCCTGGATGGGGAGCGAAACATCTTCAAACTTGGAAACAAACTCCAGTGGCTCTACAAATTGGAAACATATATATAATAAAGAGAATTGGTCCTAACACTGGTCCCCATGGTACTCCACAGGTAATCCTGGAGCATCAGGAAGATTTCTCATTAATGAGAACAAACTAAAAATCGATCAGATAGATATGATTTAAACCGTGCTGTTCCTTTAATTCCTACAAAATATTCAAGTCTTTCTAAAGAATATTATGATTAACTGTATATGATGCAGCACTGAGATTTAACAGGACAAGTACAGATACAAGTCCATTATCTGAGGCTATGAGAATATCATTAGTGACTTTCACCAGAGCTGTTTCAGTGCTATGATGAGCTCTAAAGCCAGACTGAAACTCTTCAAAAAGTTCTTTATGCTGTAAGTGGTCCCACATTGGTTCGGCAACTGCTTTCTCAAGAATTTTAGGTAAAAAAGGAAGAATGGATATAGGTCTATAATTGACCAAGTTATATGGGTCAAGAGACAGTTTCTTAAGCAAAGGTTTAATTACAAAAACCTTAAAAGCCTTTGGTACATATCCCTGTAACAGAGATAGATTAATCACATCTAAAATGGAGGAGGAGATAACCTGGTTGGAACTGGATCTAACATACAAGTTGAAGGCTTAGATGAAGACAATAGTTTTGCTAACTTTGAAAGTTTACTGCATCAAAGCAGTCTAAACCCGGTTCAGATTCCATGGCTACCTCAAATGCTGCCTCACCTTCCAGATATAAACCAATCATAGTTAGAGAAGTGTTAATGATCTTATTTTTAATAAAATAAATCTTATTTAAACTGAATAAAAACAAATCATCACTGCTATGAGCAGATGGAATGGACGGTTCAATAGAGCTATCAATCTTGGTGAGTTTGGCAACTGTATTAAAAACATATCTAGGATTATTCTTATTCTCTTCTATTAATGAGGAGAATTATGCTCCTCTTGCTTTATGAAGGGTCGTCTTATACAGCAGTGAACTATTTTTCCAAAATCTACATTCCCGTTGGCGTGTAGTGCGCCATCTTCTCTCCAGTTCTAGCATTTCGCTTCAGATTGCCTAGCTCTGCATTAAACCAGGGAGCAAGCTTTCTATTTTTAAAGTGTATCTATTTAAAAGGGGCTGCGTTGTCTAAGGCAGTATGTAGAGAACTAGGAACATAATCAACATCATCGTAAACCTTTGAATGGGAATATACTAAACTTTTGCCCTCTGCAGCTAAGGCGGCAGTACAGCTCTTGACAATCCCAAAAATGTCAATGTCTTGAGAGCTGTACAAAACAAAATTTCATTTCGTATACACCCTGTGTTTACAAAATTACAATAAAGTTTGTCTAAGTCTAAGTTCTAAGTACTGATCAGCGACACAGAGCATAGAGAAAGTGAAACAGATTCTTTAAAATTTATAACTGCACTATCTGATAATGATTGGCTAAAGTGAACTCTGTTAAATTAACCCTGAAGGCTATTAAAAAGTGGTCAGAAAGGACAGGGTTGTGAGGAAATGCTTTTATTTCTTCACGTTCAATGCCATATGTCAGGACAAGGTTTAAAGTATGAAAATGAGAATGTGTGGGGCTATTCACATTTTGAACAAAGTCATTAAGCATCTAAGATGGAAATAAAGGCTGCACTCAAGCTCACACCTTCAATTTCAGCATTGATGTTAAAATCTCCCACTATGATGACCCTGTCAATATTCAACACCAAATCAGAAAGGAACTCTGAAAACTCATAAAAAAATTCAGAGTAAGGTCCTGGTGGACGATACAAAGTTACACAAAGAGGTTTTCTTGATTTGCAAATTTGGATGAGGGAAATTAAGGGTTAAATGTTCAAAAGAGTTGTAAGTATTAACTGCCTTTAAAGTAATCAGTAAGTCAGACTGAAAGATTGTTGCTACTTCTCCTCCTCGCCCAGAACTTCTGGGGATGTGAAAATTTAAATAGCTTGAAGGAGTTTCCTAATTTCCTGCTCACATAATCCTCTTGCTGCAGCCAAGTTTCTGTAAGGCGACGTAAGTCAATGTGATTATCACAAATCAAGTCATTAACTAGCAGACTTTTTAAAGAAAGATCTTATGTTAAAAACCACATGTAATTGCTTTAACTTTTCCCCCAATTAGGGTGATATTATAATTTTGTTTAGATTATCAAGATTTAATTTAATCAAGATTATGTTCTAAATTATTTGGTTTTGGTCGTGGGCAAGACACTGTCTGGATGGAGTAATGAGTGGGTAACAGTAGAGAAGCTGCAGAGAGGTGGTTAAACTATGACTCTGCTTCCTGGTCTGTAGCCTTGGTTGTTAGTGTTTTGGAGCACTAATACTTTTGGCCAGATTCCTAGAAAGAAGAGCTCCACCATCCAGGGTGGGATGGATGCTGTCTCTCTGAATCAGACCTGGCTTTCCCCAAAAGGATTGCCAATTATTAATCTAGCCCACATTATTTTCAGAGCACCACCTAGACAACCAGCTATTAATATCCAGTTCATCACTAAGAGTAAAGAGTAAATAATATGAACTGAAATCTGATTTAAAAAGTTACTCCTCGTCTGCTAAACCATCTCCTCCTCTCCATGTCAATGATTAATTTTATAATGTGTTAGTTTCCACTTTCAGCCTCCACTACTACGTGATCCGTTGATTTATTCCACCTGTCACTTTACTGAAATCCTATGCAAGCCATCTCTCCCCCCTCCTTCATTGGCATTGACAGAGGCATCAGTTACAGTAGTTTGCAACCTAAGGGTTGTCGGTTCAAACCCCAGCATTGGCTTCCAATGTCGTTGTGTCCTTTGGAAAAACACTTTGCCTGCATTTCCCACTAATGGAGGTCAGAGGGCCTGGTAAAGTGTAGGCCAACCTTGCTTCTGTCGACCAGCCCCAGGGCATCCTTGTCTATGATTTAGACTGCCAGCATCACTGAATGGGTGATTGACTGCATATATAAAGTGCTTTGGTCTCCTTTCCCCAGTTATGATTAAATTCTTCAACTCACGGTACTGTTTCTGCTTCCCTGTCTGCATTGGGGTCCTACTTTAAGAGCTACAATATCTGACATAACCATAGATTCTGCCATTAGTTACTGCACAACCCACTGCTTCCCAAGGAGATAGGTTAAATAGATTTTGTTGATCTCTACTTGTGACTGTGTAACGACAGTAAAAGCTGGGGAGATAAAAAGTCATAACCAGCAGAATCAAAACTGACAGAGCAGACAAGGGCAAGGCAAAACTCGGATGTCTAAAGGCAGAAAACAGGTCAGAATCAGAATCACAGAACAATAAATAGATTGGTAGAGTTACTCTCACCAAACAGCTCGAACAATATGGCGCCAATGGAAGGCAAACAAGCAGCATGAATAGCAGCAGGAACCAAGTGGAAAAAATAAGCATAAGCGTTAGACAGATGTCAGTAGTAAATTAAACTGCCAACCATCAGTGCCAAGACCATGTCACTGGTTTCTTATCAGTTGCTATTGTTGCTGTTAAGACTAGAGGATGTTGAAGAAATTAGAATTCAGAAAGTGTCAAACATCCAGAGAAATAAAACAGGGTGTAACCTGTGTCTTTAAGCACAACTCTTAGTATTTGTGACCTTGTTTATGTAAATAAAACTGGTTTGAATTGTTTTGACTTGCCAATCCATCAGGATATGCACAATCAGATCCAAAGCAAACCATTTGAATAATCAGATGTCCAGTAGATAATATATATTTGTTTAAGCAGTTGTCTTCTCCCATGTCAGAAACAGAACCAGTCTGCCAACATGGAGAAACTCCTTCTGCTCATCACTGCTGCATCAGGTAAGTCTAAAAATATAATTTCACATTCCTGAAACACAGGCTTTATTTTTGTTGAACCCCCTACTGAAAGAAGTGTCTCTCGAGATCTTTTATTTTCATGTTTACTTTTTCAATACTTGACCTACATAGGATAGAACTTACATTATTTTACTTTTTCTTCTTGTTTGTTTCTCTGCAGTGTTGTGTGCCATCAACTCACTTTCAACCCGTGAATACTACTTTGTTTATGAGCAAAAGACCTGGCAAGAAGCCCAGCGTTACTGCAGGGAAACATACACAGACCTGGTAACCATTAAGAACATGGAGATTCTCAAGATCCTTGAAACGAAAGCAAATGCGACTAAAATGGTAAATTAGAATCGCAGTTATGTAAACAACAGTTCACTGTAATTTCTTGGGATAATGGGAAAAAATATATATATAGTCATATACATATATACATATATAGCTTCTGTGTATATATATATATATATATATATATATATATATATATATACATATATATATATATATACATATATAGCTTCTGTATATATATATATATATATATATATATATATATATATATATATATATATATATATATATATATATACACTAGCGTTTAAAAGTTTGGGGTCACATTGAAATGTCCTTATTTTTTAAGGAAAAGCACTGTACTTAACTTCAAAGAAATACACTCTATACATTACTAATGTGGTAAATTACTCTTCTAGCTGCAAATGTTTGGTTTTTGGTGCAATATCTGCATAGGGTATGGAGACACTGGTGACACCAAAAGCTCAAAGCCCCACAGCTCTGGAACTGTTGTAGCTAGAGGTCTGAAAATTTCTGCATTAGTGGTTGGCATGATATAGAACAAATGCAATGCAAAGAGACATGCCTATTCTCAAGCATGTCTTTATTACTGCTGTTTTAGTCACACTATTTCCATTAATATTTTCAGAAACTAGAAGTGTTAGCTTTCAAATAATGTATCACACATGCAGTTTGGGCTTACAGTTCCTACGTTATTTGCTTGCATGCAAAATAGGTGAGGATTACTTCTAAAGAGATGGGTGTTTTAACTCTAATAGATTAGCACTAATGATTTATGTACCCCCCATAAAGGTTCATTTTTCACATTAGCTGCCTCCTGCAGAAACTTTCTCCACTCCTCTCATCTGTATCTCACTTCCTTCCAGCAATTTTCCTCATTTAGACCCCTGTTTCTTTTCCCCCTCTCACATTCAGAGCGACTATTAATTTCTCCCTTTCTTATAAATGATCAGATTGACCAAATCTGATGTTGCCATGTCACACAAGAGAATAGATACTCAGGCCACAACAATGTGGGTGTGCTTTATAGAGAAGTAGAAAAGAAACAATGCTGTGACTCCACCTGTGTGTGTCAGGAACAGCATTTTCATTTGGTGTTGTCAAAATTAGCCGATCGTGCGAAAGGGCTGAAATTAGATGTGTGACTATGTAAGAACAAAAACAGCTCATGAGGTGCTCTGGCTTATATCAGCTGCTAAAAATAATGCCACACTGTTATCTTCTTAAGGGTCTTGTTGGTGGGGAAGGCTTCCCCTTGCACAATGATAGGGAAAACTTCTTCTTACCAAACTCTCAATACTGTTGTAGCAACTCCACCCATGGTACACATCCCTCTCTGTCATGATGGGTTCACTAATAGCGACCCAAGTATGCAGAACACCACTGACGGACACAGGGATAAAAGTTCGACAAGTTTATTTTTGCACAAGCACACAGAATGTACTGGTTCAGGATCGGGCCTGGACACTGGTTCACCGGAGTCTGCGTGAGAGACAGATCAGTTAGCGTTGCAAGCTGAAGCTTGATTTCCTGAAGATTACTGATTGTACCTTGAGGGTTCTTGAGGATTACTTTGGGAGAGTCACTGTTGGATCTGGAGAGGAGTTCATCAGGAGAGTCCGCTTGCTGCTTCAGCGTCTCACGTCTTATAATGATCAGACCTTGGGTTTGGGTTTTCCAGCTCTTAGTCCAGAGCTGCATGGAGGTTCTCAAAGATTCTTCAGGTTTGTCTCAGAGGGTCGGCTCGGCAGGTTAGCTCTTCATGAGCTTCACAGAGGAGACACTGGTTTCCTGGAAAACAGAGACAACGGTTAGAATCCAGGCTGGATTCAAAGTCACAAAGTTACACTGAGGTTCTAGGCTTAGGTGCTGACCAACTGGATCAACACTGCGGCGTTGAGGCAAGGTCTGAAGACAGCTTATGTAGTGGATCCTCTGATGATCTTGATGGGCTGCAGCTGTGCAGGAGGCTCCCTCAGAAGGATCCACGGCGGACTCTGCTGGAGAAAGGTGGAACTTCTCCAGCTCCCAACACTCTCAATATTTACACACTGGTGGACTACCAGTCAAAACTACATGATTTTCTAGTTAGGGGCAACAGGTACCACTACTTTATAAACAAACCATTTGAAGAAGGCATCAAATATGGTTATGTTACAGAGAAGCCTCTTAGGTCTAATGGCATTCAAGACAGTGCAGATCATGACGTGAGTGTATCAGGAAGGTTACCTCCAAAGATCATGAACCAAATTTATATTTGGACAGCAAAAACCCTCCTGGGCAAGAGTACATGGAAATCAGATAATGTGAAAGCAAGAAATAACATTTGTCCTGAATCAAATAAGTTGTAGCAGCACAGGTTAGCACAGACTAATGCCCGGTATTCATTGGAACACTTTTTACTCAACTTTTCTTAGTGAGCTTTTATTAGCTTGATAACAAACATCCTCATCCAGACACATCTACAAACCACATAAAAATTTCAATGCACTGTTAGAAAGTGCAAAAAGATTTGATCAGATGTAAGTTGGTTTCATTTAATGCTAATTAAATGAACAAAATAGTAAATGACATGTAAACCCTTGATTTCAGCCTACCTGGATTGGATTGTATGAGAATCTGAACACCTGGAGGTGGTCATTTTCAAACACTAGTGTCTACCAACCGGGTGAGGAGATGTACAGGAACTGGGCAAGTGGAGCTCCAAACAACAGTGATGGAAGAGAAAGCTGTGCAACGATAAATGATGACGGACTCTGGGACGATGTGCCATGTTCTTTGACCTTAAATCCAGTTTGCTCTGATTTCAACGGTGAGAATTTAGGTGAAAATGAAGGGTTTGTAATTCTTCTGGTGGTCTCTTTCTCTCAACTGACCTCAACATGACAGTTTCTTCTCTTTAAGCGTATTTATCAACTTAATTTAATTTGAGTTTTCTGCAAAAGGTAACTTCTCTTTTCTAAAGGATTAGGTTAGGTTTTTTGTTTCAGTTGAACTGTATAACTCTTGGATTCATTTTTGGCAGGTCAATAATACTAGTAACAGAAGAGGTAGCCACCTTTTTACTTCTAGAAATCACTCTTGCTGTTCTTGCAGCAGATTTGTTTTTTCCGAAACCTGAAAAAAAAAATTTGTTTAATAAATATTTACTGGATGAAATGAGATTTGAGAAAGCTTCCTGGAGAGGTGGCAAAACGTCTTCAAAACTTGGAAACCAAGTCCAGTGGATATTTTTTGAACTTTTACGGAATGACTATGACCGGGATGACTGAGAATCTTCATTAGCATATAGATGAAATGATTATTTCGAAAGCTAACAAAATTGACTCAAGATTGTTTCCATCCTCAGATTTTAGACCAAAATAAATTAGATAATTTCTTCAAACAGAATTTTTTTTTGTCAGGCTCAGAACAACAGGACACAATATTCAAGGTGGACAGAGTTATATTTCTCAAAAGTCTCAGTGGAAGAGGGTAGCCGCGACAGGACGTGTAACCAGAACTTGAACAGGACCTTCAAACTGGTCTCCATCTTGGAGCCAGGCTTACTGGAATAAAAACTGATCCTCCCCACGTAAAGAGCCAAAATCCCTAAAGACTCAGCAGGGGAGGAAAAGTGGATGAGCAGGAGATGAGATAGACACAAAACCCTCTTTCCACTGGCCGCCAGGATCCAGGACACGAACCGTGCCAGAAACTAAACAGACTAACAGAAAACAAATAATGATCTGGCTATGTTAGCTGGAACTGAGCCTAATATAAGGGAAACTGGCAGGTGGATGAGATGAATGATAATTAGGAGCCGGAAAGAGTGAAGTAGGTGAAAGGCATGAGTAATTAAGACCAGCTATCACAGCAGATCATGACAGCTTAGAGGAGTGCTGCAGTTTTTTGAATACAGTTTGGATATTTTCTAACCCGGAAATCCTACATACTCCGTCAGCGCTCCGCTCCACTCCGCCCCGCTGCACTCCAGACCGCCTGCGCAAAGCAAAGCCTACAGCCTCCACTGTGGCTCCCGTCCGCTCCGGTCTGAGTTACTTGGAGATTGTAGAGGGCATGCGCGAGATGATTAACTTCAAAGGAGCAAAACATGCGGAAATGAACCAATTTTTTTTTTAATTAAGGCCTTAATTGGCACTAAAATTAATTAAATATGTTTATCGTGGCATTTATAATTCTTTAATAAAAAATGCTTATAAAAACAATTCTGTCAGATATATTATACCGCGATTAATTTGCATGAAACTGATTATAAAGCCGTAGAAAAAGCTAGAGAATATATATATATATATATATATATATATATATATATATATATATATATTAGTGCTGTCAAAATTAACGCGTTATTATCACGTTAACGCAAGGCCATTTTAACGGCGATAATTTTTTTTAACGTGAGATTAACTAGATTTCTTTTTAATACAGTTGCCAAACTCACCCAGAGCCATAGCTCTGTTGAACCGTCCATTCCACCTGCTCTTAGCAGCAATGATTTTATGGGATTCTTTATAAATAAGATTGATCTTATTAAAAATAAGATCATAAGCACTCCTCTATCCGCGATTGTACCTGAGGTAGTCATGGAATCTGAACCGGGTTTAGACTGCTTTGATCCAGTTGAACTCTCTGAATTAGCAAAATTATTGTCTTCATCTAAGCCTTCAACTTGTATTTTAGATCCAGTTCCAACCAGGTTATTTAAGGAGGTATTCCCTTTGATCTCCTCCTCCATTTTAGATGTGATTAATCTATCTCTGTTACAGGGATATGTACCTAAAGCTTTTAAGATTGCTGTAATTAAACCTCTGCTTAAGAAACCTTCTCTTGACCCAGATGACTTGGTCAATTATAGACCTATATCCAATCTTCCTTTCTTATCCAAAATTCTTGAGAAAGTAGTTGCCAAACAAGTCTGCGATCACTTCCACCATAATGAACTTTTTGAAGAGTTTCAGTCTGGCTTTAGAGCTCATCATAGCACTGAAACAGCTCTGGTGAAAGTCACTAATGATATTCTCATGGCCTCAGATAATGGACTTGTATCTGTGCTCGTCCTGTTGGATCTTAGTGCTGCATTTGATACAGTTGACCATAATATTCTTTTAGAAAGACTTCAATATTTTGTTGGAATTAAAGGAACAGCACTAGACTGGTTTAAATCTTATCTATCTGATCGAATTCAGTTTGTTCATGTTAATGATAGATCTTCAACACGCTCAAAGGTTACCTGTGGAGTACCACAGGGATCAGTGCTAGGACCAATTCTCTTTACTTTATACATGCTCCCAATTGGTAGAATTATTAGACAGCATGGGATTAATTTCCACTGTTATGCTGATGATACCCAGCTATATCTGTCTATAAATCCAGATGAAGCTAACCCATTACATAGATTACAGGCATGTCTTGAAGACATAAAAACCTGGATGACTCTTAACTTTCTGCTTCTGAATGCAGACAAAACAGAAGTTATAGTCTTTGGACCAGAGTCTCTGAAAAAGAAATTGATTAGCCAGTCACTTCATTTGGATGGGATTAAACTGATTTCAGATAATAAAGTAAAAAATCTTGGTGTTAATTTTGATCAGGACCTGTCATTTAAATCCCATATCAAATAGGTTTCTAGAATTTCCTTCTTTCATCTGAGGAACATTGCAAAAATTAGAAATATCCTGTCCAGGGGTGATGCTGAGAAACTAGTACATGCATTTGTTACTTCAAGGCTGGACTATTGTAATTCTTTACTATCAGGAAGTCCACAAACTGTAGTTAAAAGCCTTCAGCTGATCCAAAATGCTGCAGCCAGAGTTCTAATGAAAATGAAAAAGAGAGATCATATCTCTCCTATCCTGGCTTCTCTTCATTGGCTTCCTGTTAAATCAAGAATAGAATTTAAAATCCTCCTTCTCACATATAAAGCCTTAAATGGCCAAGCTCCATCTTATATCAGAGATCTGATTGTTCCTTATGTTCCTAACAGAGCACTTCGCTCTCAATCTGCAGGTTTACTAGTGGTTCCTAGAATTTCTAAAAGTAGAATGGGAGGCAGATCTTTTAGTTATCAGGCTCCTCTCCTGTGGAACCAACTACCAGTTTTAGTCCGTGAGGCAGACACCCTGTCTACTTTTAAGGCTAGGCTTAAAACTTTCATTTTTGATAAAGCTTATAGTTAGGGTGGCTCAGGTTATCCTGAGCTATCTCTATAGTTATGCTGCTATAGGCTTAGACTTTTGGAGGACATAGGGACCCCCATTTCATCATTCTGCTTCATTCTCTCTCTGTTCTCCTATTCTGCAGAATCTGTTAGTTCAATCTCTAACCTTCTGCTCTCTCTGCTTTTCCTCAGAGTAGCTTTGCCTCGTCTGTTCCTGTTTGGCTGTGACGTCATCCTGGAAAAAAACATCAGCTGTGCTGCTTCTATCAACACCCTTGTTAATAGATGTTGGAGATCGGCCTGTTTTCCAGTGTGGTCCTGTTTCTCTGACCGTGACTGAGTGGATGTGCTCTCTTCGTCCTCTGGCATGGGAGCTGCCTTGGAGCTCTTCTGCCTGGCTGTGTGTTTCCTGGACGGGGCCGCCTTTTACAGCTGCTTTTTGTATCTCTGCTTCTGTCTCCTTGAACCCCAGTCGGCCTCGGCAGATGGCCGCTCACACTGAGCCTGGTTCTGCTGGAGGTTTCTTCCTGTTAAAAGGGAGTTTTTCCTCTCCACTGTCGCTACAAGCATGCTTAGTGTGGGGGATTGTATTTGAGTCAATGAGTCAATGCAATCCACTGGTTTTCCTTAGATAGAAAACTTTGTATCAATTTGACTGTATGATCTGGTTGAACTGTAAAGTGCCTTGAGATGACATGTGTTGTGAATTTGGCGCTATATAAATAAACTGAATTGAATTGAATTGAATTAACGCTATGTGGTTTTATGGTACAATTTTCCAAGTACATCCCGCTGCAGCCCATGGGAAGGCGGGGCTATTTTCCCCCAGTCTATGCATTTCACATAGGCTTCCAGAGCGGAGCTCCTCAAGGGAAAAAGACGCTCATACACTGGGTAGCGCTAGTGCCTTTTCTTTAAGCCCCACCACCAACAAACAAGTTGAGTGTCTGGTAACTAGTAGCAACCTGAAATACGCTGAGAAAACAGATTACTGAGGTGAAATGGAATCTGCTACGGCACTCTTGCTGTCTGTGTATGCCACAGGTCGGTATCGTGTGTGTGTCTGTGTGTGTGTGGGTGGGTGTGTCTGTGTGTGGGTGGGTGGGTGTGTGTTCTCATTTTTGTTAAGAGGCTGAAAAGTAACTTTCTAGAGCATAGACTACCTCCATCTAGTGATGTCGGTCTATTGATTTTGATGTATTGATTGAAAATTGTTCATTATTATCTTGGTTAATTAACATCTAATGTTAACTGTACTAAATTTTATAGCAGTAGGGTAAAATGCTTGTCTTTGTTCAAAAGACTGTATTAACTGTAAAGACTGTCTTTTTACATCAGCCTGTTTTCAGGGCCTTTTTGTTATTTTTTGCTACATGCCTCCCCATCTTCTTGCCATATGTTTCTATGGCATAAATCAGTGTCTGTGACCTGTTTTCATTTAAAAAAAAGAACATTGGCACAAACCTAGCCTGTATGTATTTTTTGTATGTCATCGAGAGTAAAAAAAAATTTGCGATTAAAATGCGATTAATCGTGAGTTAACTCAGGCATTGATGCGATTAATCGCGATTAAAAAAATTTAATCGATTGACAGCACTAATATATATATATATATATATATATATATATATATATATATATATATATATATATATATATATATATATATATATATATATATATATATATATATATATACATATATGTCTGTGTGTGCGCGTGTTTGCATACGTACAAGAGTCATGGAACTGTGATTACAGCTCCTTCATATTTCATGTACACTAATAACTTCTAATAGCATTAAATTAGAGTCACTCATTCCTAACCCTATATATATATATAAATTTTTTTTTAGATTTTTGTAACAGGGATAACTAGGATCATTTAAAACTGCTTTTTTTTTATGAACTTTGTTCTCTACTCCCAAACTCAGCATCTCTTCATCCATTCCTGCAATAAAAAGTTTCTTTTGACTGGATTTGATTAAACTTTAAGTCCCTCGGTATAAAATAAATATTTTGATGGAGATGAGAAATCTGCTTCCTGGTTGGTGAATAACCAATACTTTGCATCCGATCATTAAAAAATGATGTTAGTTTTTTTGGAATATATAAGAATTATGCTATAATTTCTAGTTACCGATCTGTTGCTACTATATTTTAATTTGACGAACCAGAATTGTTCGCTGTTCTTTTTCCTTGTTGGTGCGATTGCAATTGCGGATTTTGACCTGGCAAAAAATAGCTGGGCTCCGTATTTTGTTGGGGACAGACGGAGAAAATGTACGTGGACGGAGACGTGCGGAGGAGCAGCGGTGGATGTGGAACAGCTCTCATTGATTTACATGAAAGACAAGCGCTTCCGTACGAGCGTCAGCGGGGAGGAGTGGAGCGGGGCGCTGTCGGAGTATATGGAATCTGGGGGGCAGAAAAGATTGGTTATTTTAACAACCAATCTATTTGGTTAAAACAATTTTGGTTAGATTAAACACTATAATGACCAGAATCTGAGGAGGCCACTGGTTTTAGATTTAATATTAGTATTTAGTACTATTGCTTTCTGCAGACCAGTTACAATGGCAAGTGGGGTCTGCTGTAAGACTTGTTTGAATGGTTGAAGCTTCAAGAGCTGGGTTAAGCTTTTGAAAATTGCTTTGCTACCTAACTAGTATTTTGACCAATGTGATCAAGTTGCTTTGGTTTGCTGTTTTATCAATATAGATTGGGTAAAACACTGCCAAAATAGACTGGTTGGTTTAACCAAAAGATTGGTTGGATATATAACTTCTGAACGGATTAAAACCAAAAACTGCAGAAAACAATTATTTTTGATTAAAAATGTCTAACACCTTGACCTGGATGATGGTAAATATATGAGTCACCAACCTGGTCTTAAAGTTGGGTCTAGGTCCAGAGGATCAGCTTAGCTCCAGGTGGTCGGCTGCCAACAAGATGTGGCGGGCGCCGCCCAGAGAGTCTAAGGTACTGAAGTCTTGGAGGTCAGGCAGGTCAGAACCAAGTAGAAAAATGAAGACAGGATAATCCTACGGTCGAAGCCAAAGCCGGTGTTGAAGCCGGTGCTCGGGAGTCAGTGCCAGGAGGTCAGAGGTCTAAAGAGGTACTGCAGGGAAATGTAAATCCCTTTTATTGTCCCACAATGGGAAAAAAAACAGTTTTCTGCATTTTGACTCATCCCCTTGTGGAGCAGTTGGCTGCCATGATCAGGGAGAGCAATCAGGGGTTAAGGGTTTTATTCAGGAACCCAGAGTGGAGGCTGTGGTGATTCGGACTGGGTACTTCCAACCTTCTCTGAACACAAGCGCACTGCTCTAACCCACTAGACCAGGACGGAGCCAGGGAACAGTTCCAGGTTCAGTTCAAAGACAGGCAGGGATCCGGCAAGTGTCCGAGGACAGGTCAGACAAACTGATTTCCCTTCACCCCCATCATGGACTGTTCTCTCTGCTGCCCTCTGGGAAGGGGCTTCACAGCATTCAATGCAGGTCCAGGAGGTTCTGCAGCAGCTTCTTCGCCATTGCCATCAGATAGCTGAATGTTGAAAAACTCCAAATCATGTCACAGACTCTGCATCAAACAGACCATAAATGGTGAATGGTAGATGTCCTGTACTTATATAGCGCCTTTATTCAAGTCAGGAGACTTGACCAAAGCGCTTTACACTACATTCATTCACCCATTCACGCACACACTGATGGTGGCAAGCTACATTGTAGCCACAGCTGCCCTGGGGCTCACTGACAGAAGCGGGGCTGCCGTACACTGGCGCCACCGGGCCCTCTGACCGCCATCAGTAGATAATGCAGGTGAAGTGTCTTGCCCAAGGACACAACGACAATGAAAGTCGGAGTCGGGGCTTGAACCGTCAATCCTTCGATTTCAGGGCAAACTCCCACATCCAACGCCACTGTCACCCCACATATATCACACATATCAATGCGTTGTTGTTTTTTTTTGCACTATGTTTTTTTTTCTCCCACAATGTTTATATTTGATCACTGCTGCACTTTAAGAACTAGAAATGTCATGTACACTTTGTCTTTTTCAAAGCGCTCTATAAGTACAGGCCATTTGCCATAATGTCCGTGTTTTACCCTTTTGTGGTTGTGTCTTCTTAGGCGGGCTTTACTGAAACTGAATTTCCATTTGGATTAATACATTTTTATTATATTGAATTAAATGACAAAAATGGTTTTCAAAATTTCCTGAAGCATCCCTTTAATCTACATTTAGGGACAGATGTGACATTTTCCTACATCGACACTGTAATGAACTGGGTCCAGGCTGACACGTATTGCAAAGAACATCACAATGACCTGGCCATTGTGAGAAACTTGGAAGAGAACCAGCAGATTCAGGGCCTGAATATATCAGGATCACTATGGATTGGTCTTCACCGAGATGCTTGGAAATGGTCAGATGGAACCAGAGCACACTTCACCAACTGGAGGAAGGGAGAACCCAACGGAGCGGAGGACTGCTGTGCATCCATTGACTTTGCAGACTCTGGAGTGTGGCAGGACAGGGACTGTGGTGAACGGCTGGTATTTATCTGCTACTGGGGTAAGCCCTGGTCATGCCTTCAGGTCCATTTTGTAGATGTGGTGGCTCCACTTCCTAAATGGGTGCAGTTTTATTGTAAATTGCAGATGTTGGATTTTATCTTCTCTTCAGCTGAATAATTGCTAATGACAGCTGCTGGTTTTTGCAGATGTACCAGTTTTGAGGCGAGTGGTGAAATTGAAGCTGGTGAAACCATCCTCTGTGGATCTGAATGACCCCGCCATAGAGGAGGAGTTACTGAACAAGGTTAGATCTGTCATAATTCCCTCCAAGGAGTCGCTAGTTGCCTGTAAGATGCAAACTCTAATTTAAGTAGATGCAGTTCTTAAACCCTTTGGAGGTTGTGGAAGGGTCTGGTCTCTCTGTAAGGTTAATCCAATGTCTTCCATCAAACACATTTCAGCTGTCAATAGTATAAAGCAGAATTCTGCCAAATGTTCCCTTGTAATATATACTCATATGAACATGTTTATTTCAAACACCAATTGTTTCAGGTTGGTTCCACCCTCAGGGTGACAAACGTTTACATGAGAAACAGGTCCAGAATTAACATGTGCTCAGAAAAAAAACCTGAGAGCTGAAAAGGAGCATGGAGTCATGGTTGTGACATATTGGGGGCCTCATGTATCACATCAGCATACAATGTGAAAAATACACATGAAGAGTTGTTTGTATCTGTGTGTTCCAATTAAAACTGTTTCTATTAGTATTAATTTATGTTCCTAGTTGACAATACAATAGTTTATAGTTATTTAAGTTGGAACACACAGAGAAATGTTTTTCCCCTTGTCTGGATTATTTGTTCCATGGGCGTTTAGATCTTTGGCTAAATATGTTTACTTAGGATTAAACAATACTATTCACACAAGTCTGACTAGAAATTTAAGTTAGATAAGAAATAGGAAATTAAGCATTTTGGAGAGGTTTATCTGAAGGCATGCCCAGGGCTTTAATGTGCAATGACCTAGTGTGGAGATACCAAAGCTGAATGGAGTTTGTTGAAAGGTTCCATTAAACATAAGAGAAACTGGCCTCACTAATTTAAGGCACCTTCACATTGCATTTTTTTATGCTTGGTTCTGATTTTTTATGTATGACCATTCAGAATACTGAAATGAGCCAACAGTCTTACCCACCATTAGACTGCAGACAGTGTGTTGATGGAAGTAATAACAGATGTCCGCATCTTTGAGTTACTGTTAGCTGTTGTGAGACGACATTATTATGAACACATAGAGAGAAGAATTTCCAATGTGTTTCAGTGGAGCAGTGACTGCTGAGTAGGACAGGGTCTGTATGGATGAGAATATTCAGAACCTGGATGATAATTGGAAATACAGAAGACTGTTCAAACTAGATGAGCTTAAAAACTATCAGTTATGTGTCTGATTAAGTGCCACATATGGAAGGGGAGATGAAAATGAGATATAATTATATTAAAAAAGTGACGTTCTGATGTCAAAGTACTGCAGTTAATCAATTAATGAACAGTTAGTGAACCTTATACCAGGTCAGGAGAATAATTTGGGTTTATTGTTTTTCAGTTGAAGGAGAAGCTGAAGGAGCAGGGGCTGAATGAAGACATGAAAATAAGAAACCTGCGCTGGAGAAAGCAGCCAAATGGAAAGGTTTTCCACAAGGAAAAGTAGACGTTACTTTAAGAGGATAAGATCTGCTCTCTGAAAGCGGCTTGGTTATTTGTTATTTTCATGTTTCTTCAAATAATTTGTCATATTCAAATGTCAAACTTAAATGAAGGTTTCAGCTGTTGCTCTTTACTTCCCTTCTGCACATTTCCCCAGATCTTCCTTTTGATCATCTCAGCATCTTAAAGAGCAGACGCCAGAGAAAAGAAAAGAACAGTGTAAAAGATCATTGTTCTGACAGAACTTTGTTAGGGAGTGGTGGAAACAAAAGGCAAAAACATTTTTACCCAAGATTTTGAATTGGAAAGAACAGATAATGACTAAAAATCAAAACATGTCTTCAGGTGCATTTGTGCCATAATGTTGCCCTAATTAATGAGCCCCTCCTGCACTCAACAGCTTAGTCAAGTGAAACCCTGTATAGATAATATGCTGAATGTATTAGACATAGTGGTTTGAAATGAGGGAAACATGCTTAGAAGATGAATACAGGTTTTTTAGGGTCCTAGAACAGATTTATGTTCATGTCCATGTTTGCTGTAGAAACGTACTGAACCTTCTCAGAATCATATCAAAACAAAAAGCAATACAGTGAAATATTTAAAGAGATGGAGAACCACAGATTCCTCAGATGTAGGAAAAAAATGCCCATTAACTTTTCTGAATATGTACGAATGCCCAAAACCATCCAAACTGCTCTTCTGCCATCACATGAAAAAATCTTCCAAATACACTCTGGTCTTTTCGGTCTTCCTCTTATTCTAATGAATTTGTAAAAAAAAAATAAATAAATTGCCTCTGAAATACTCTCAGCCATTTTCTATGTGTAAGATCAGAGTAGTAAATCTAGAGAGAATGGCTGAAACCGAAGCTCACTGGATAGAAGTGCTCATCAAATGCAAGAGGAAATGAGCATGACACAAAGATTAGCATCTAAGGATGATTCAGTAAACTTCTGCTGAGATCTAAGGATGCAGAAAATATGGTTCTACGGCAGCCTGGACAGTTCAAGATAGGAGGGAGTGTCGTGTTTGGAAATGATTGGCTCTTGCTCGCATTGTGTTAACCAAAGAGATAAAACTCCTGCTTTTACTCCCTCTAAGTTTTCTCTTTGCCAACAGCGACACCTTATGTCTGGCAGAGGAACTGTAGGGAGAGTAACTTAATGTCCCTCCAGCATGAGGATACAGCTGCTTGATAGAGCTGTGATTTTATTCACAGCACCTCTTTAAAGGACATTTTCAGCATAAATGTTTTTCTTTTCTCTTCTTTGCCGTATCGCCTTTTTTAGACCCTTTTTTTTTACCTCCTTTTTATTTAGACCCATTTTAACCTTCCTGGGGAGAAAACTCTGCAAAGGAGGTTTCAAATCTCCGATTTATTAATAGTTTGTGGAGGCAGATGTTACATCAATCTGTACATAGCAAATCTGATTACAGATCTGTTTTGAGTGCACACCTAGACTTCTTATTGCCACCCACACAATTTCAAATAGTGTCAATCATCAGAACCACACCGTAGCCTAAAAGCAGCTGTTATCAATTGTACAAGCACTCCACACTTTCCAGATTCAGAAACGAACATTACTTTCCAAATACGCCATGGCAACCAAGTTTCATGTGCACATTCTTTTAACTCAAATGACCCAAGCAGCCAATTGAAACGTGTATGCATGCATCTTTAACTCCTTTTAAAAACTTTAATGTAACTACAACAGAAAACTGAAATCACTCTCGCCAGACATACAGAAGACAGACATTCCACTTGGAGTTCAACAGGCCGTACAACACAGCCCTTCAAGTGTTGTGATAAGGTATGAACTGTTATTAAGATGTAATTTGGAGGTGCAACTCCTCCTTACAATTCTTCTGATGTACAACTCAAAGGCAGCTGGGAAAGACCTTTTTGAGTTGCCAATTAATGCTGCAGCATCATGAGAGTTTGGCAAAAGACAAGAGTTCCTTTAAAATAATTTAATGTGGCCAGTTTCTTAACACCACAAGCCCTCTGTGTGTTAACCAGCCTTATAATGATAGGAGAGTCTATAGATTTAACTCATCTTTCCTAGCTCCCTGAATGGTTCTTAGGGCTCTTTTTCAGTGAACTTTATTTCCCCAAAGAGGACCTGGCAGTCTTACACCCTACTTTAGGAAAAAAAACAGCCTCTCTTCCAGGAAAGTAATATCTGGCTCCTATTAAACTTTTCTTACTTGTGTCTACAATATCACATCCCTTTCTAAACATTCAGGCCCGGTGTTTTCTGTGTGCAGGCATCTAAAGAAGCAGTCGATGAATTAAAACAACCTCAAATAATCTTGCATCCAAAGTTAGAGCAGGTCTCCAATCCTAAGCCATAAACATATTCCTCCAAATATGTAATTTCCTTCAAAAACCACACATACCAAACTGAAAGCTATGTCTTATCAAAGCGCTGTAATGTTCTCACCATGTCTGACCTGCAGAATTCACACTAGCTCATGCATTGATTCAGTTCTGGTTAAGCTTTTCTTTTTTAGGACTCACAGATTTCACAATTAAATTTCTGCAGATGACACCATCAAATGTCCAATGCCATTGGATCAACTGTCTGTACCCTCAGTAATCCTGATTACTTGCTTTGTGCTGTTGAATAAACTGAACTAAAACATGCTGGTGGTGCTTTTCATTTACCCTCACCAACTAAAACAGCTCTGTTTTTATTTTCCCCCTCCCCTTCTTATGCTAGCTTCCAGTGACAGGTGCCTGTGTTTGCTAGCATGCTTACAGGTGAGTCAGGGGCCACCAACACCTGCTATTTAGCATATTGTCCTTCCGAAGACGCTTTTTGAGTCCTATACACACAAGCATGCCCATGCATACATACCATGGGAGTTTGGTTCCAGCTGTTCATGCCTACACACTAAATATTAAGCTGCAGCTACAGATATATACTGTTAGGAATCCAGTTTGTGTAGGTTGTTTGTGTGTTCTTCTCCCTCCACCACCAGATGGTACCCTGTCTATGTTTGGCCTCCCTGCACACCTGCGGCTTGTTGGATCATTACTAAAGGAGTATTTGAGCAGTGGGCTGTCACCACCTCGACGCCAGAGTGTTTGCCAGTTTTGGGTACTCTAGCCAAGCTGAGATTAGCAGAGTCTAACCTAAGCTTTCTTTCTCTGAGTCTTACCTAGTTTTGTCTTTGCTCTTCGGCAGGAAGCCTTTCTGAGAAACTGGATTCCTGGACCTTCTCTCCCTGGAAGGATTAACTGAGTACACGCTGAGCAGGGGAAAACCTCTACATGATCCATTCAAGTCCTCATTGAAAATCCAAGTGACAGTCCACTCCTTTACTCCTCTGGGTCCAACGCTTGTCTATCTGTCCGCCCTCCAACGAGTTCCCTCTTCTCTGGATTAACCCCCACAAGCTGGATTCAAGGATTGTCATGAGCCCCCTCAAATGTGAGTCTCTCTCCAGTTACATTCAAGCCTCAGTCAAATTTCCTACGGTCCCTGAACTGATCACTGTGATCTCCCCTTCAAACTTTCCAGTTCCGGTTCACCAGTCCACTGAGTTCCAGATCCAACTTCTGTATTTCATCTACATTTAATAAACCTGTTAAACTTTTTCCCTTGGTCTCTGAATGGTTCTCGGCATGTGGGTCAGATCGCTTAAACCAGTGGTTCCCAAAGAATTTCTTCTGGGCCCCCCTTTGGATTACAATAAAATGTCCACGCCCCCCCCCAACAAAAAAAAAAAAAAGAAAGAATCAACTGGGCACACACATCGTTCAACCACATATAATAAATCTATACACATATTTTGTTTTAAAACTCCACTGAAGTTTATTTCACACTTCAGGTTGCAACAAAACAAACTACACCATCTTTACAGTGGAACACTTTTGTGTAACTGTATTTTTTTCATAGTTCTATACTGTAGATTAGAAGAGGATTCTTTGTTGTCTGTGTTATTTTAAACATACAGGTGCTGGTCATAAAATTAGAATATCATGAAAAAGTAGATTGATTTCAGTAATTCCATTTAAAAAGTGAAACTTGTATATTATATTCATACATTACATACAAACTCATATATTTCAGATGTTTATTTTGTTTAATTTTGATGATTACAAATGACAACAAATGAAAATCTCAAATTCATCATATCAGAAAATTAGAATATTGTGAAAAGGTTCAAAATTGATGGCCCCTGGTGCCACACTCTAATCAGCTAATTAACTCAAACCACCTGCAAAAGCCTTTAAATGGTCTTTCAGTCTAGTTCTATAGGCTACACAATCATGGGGAAGACTGCTGACTTGACAGTTGTCCAAAAGACGACCATCGACACCTTGCACAAGGAGGGCAAGACACAAAAGGTCATCGCTAAAGAGGCTGGCTGTTCACAGAGCTCAGTGTCCAAGCACATTAATAGAGAGGCGAAGGGAAGGAAAAGATGTGGTCGAAAAAAGTGTACAAGCAAGAGAGATAACCGCACCCTGGAGAGGATTGTGAAACAAAACCCATTCAAAAATGTGGGGGAGATTCACAAAGAGTGGACTGCAGCTGGAGTGAGTGCTTCAAGAACCACCACACACAGACGTATGAAAGACATGGGTTTCTGCTGTCGCATTCCTTGTGTCAAGCCACTCTTGAACCACAGACAGCGTCAGAAGCGTCTTACCTGGGCTAAAGAGAAACAGGACTGGACTGCTGGTGAGTGGTCCAAAGTCATGTTCTCTGATGAAAGTAAATTTTGCATTTCCTTTGGAAATCAAGGTCCCAGAGTCTGGAGGAAAAGAAGAGAGGCACTTCATCCACGTTGCTTGAAGTCCAGTGTAAAGTTTCCACAGTCAGTGATGGTTTGGGGTGCCATGTCATCTGCTGGTGTTGGCCCATTGTGTTTTCTGAGGTCCAGGGTCAACGCAGCCACATACCAGGAAGTTTTAGAGCACTTCATGCTTCCTGCAGCTGACCAACTTTTTGGAGATGCAGATTTCATTTTCCAACAGGACTTGGCACCTGCACACAGTGCCAAAGCTACCAGTACCTGGTTGAAGGACCATGGTATCCCTGTTCTTAATTGGCCAGCAAACTCTCCTGACCTTAACCCCATAGAAAATCTATGGGGTATTGTGAAGAAGAAGATGCAATACACCAGACCCAACAATTCAGAAGAGCTAAAAGCCACTATTAGAGCAACCTGGGCTATCATAACACCTGAGCAGTGCCACAGACTGATCGACTCCATGCCACGCCGCATTGCTGCAGTAATACAGGCCAAAGGAGGCCCAACTAAATACTGAGTGCTGTACATGCTCATACTTTTCATGTTCATACTTTTCAGTTGGCCAACATTTCTATAAATCCTTTGTTTTTATTGGTCTTCAGTAATATTCTAATTTTCTGATATGATGAATTTGAGATTTTCATTTGTTGTCATTTGTAATCATCAAAATTAAACAAAATAAACATCTGAAATATATGAGTTTGTATGTAATGTATGAATATAATATACAAGTTTCACTTTTTAAATGGAATTACTGAAATCAATCTACTTTTTCATGATATTCTAATTTTATGACCAGCACCTGTATTTCTTTTTTTTTATTTGTAACAATATTTAACTTTGCTATAATCTATACATTAAAAAAGCCTCTGTGCAAAATGGAGTGAAAACATTTAACAGCTCCCTGAGAGTTTTTTCTTTGTACTTTAATCCTCCCATCTTTTCAGTGGCTGTAGTGAGCCTGCTTTTTGCTGTAGATCTTCTCAAATCTGGGTTGCAGTGTCACAACTGTCCATTATGCTCAGTCAAGCAAGCGCTGTTTTTTTTTTTTTTTTCTTCATTCATCCATACTGCTTCCCGCGCCCCCCCTGCAATGGCATTGCGCCCCCCCTAGGGGGCGCACCCCACACTTTGGGAACCACTGGCTTAAACCAATCATGACATGTACCACCCTGATTAATACTGTATAATCACCATAGGTTTTGCCTTCCATACACATTAATTTCTAAAGGATATGTGCTGCCCTTGAAGTTACTTTGATGGTTCCCTGTTGTCTTCTATTTGCTATGCTCTCTGTTTTCTGTTCTTCTCTCATCCAGGTGTGGAAGCAGACTTCTAAGACTTACTGTAGATCTTCTGTGTCTGTTTCTGTTGTTTAGTTTTCTCTCCTTTCATTCACTCTTACTCATGTCTAGCTTTCTTTCCCCTTTTTTCTTGTCCCCTCTTTCTTTCTTTCTCCCCTCCCTTTCCATTTCCATTGTATATGATTTTATTCCCTAAATCATCTTCAATTAGATTTCATGTAGAAGTATCAAGCTGATCCTTATGGCAACAGTCATAATGTTCTGCCTGTAAAAGCTGAGCAGTTTGGCTATAAGCTAGCTCCAGGACATCTATTCCCAGAGCTATATTAATAAAACAGGACAAAAAAAGACTAAAATTTGACCCCTAACTCAATAAGTTGTGGGTTAAATTTGGCTTGGCCTAACTGAAGGTATATAAACAAGATAGACATGTGATCTGCAAGCAGCTGCTACATTTAACGACCACCAGAGGAGCAGAGGTGAGCTTGATGAAAATGTAGTTCCAGAACTCCTTGATCTGTGTAAAAACTGCAGACAGTATGTACCCTCATGCTCATGTTTGGTGCGAGTTAAGGTTGGGTAATTCATAAAGTCTGTTGCTATGATGTGCTGTGCTGATTAAAAAATAAAAATCAGGCCTTTGGTATTTTTTTTTTTTGTCCTGGGAAACTCCATCTATAAAAAATGAGTTTGTAAAACCTGCACAAAAACGACTAAAAACACATAAAAAATGTGAAAGAGTTCTTTAGTCTTACACTTTCATACAGACATTCGATAGCAGTTTTGTCTGTCTGAGTCTAAGCTTGTTTTGTCTTTGTTCTTCGGCAGGAAGAGTCCACCTCTGGATAACCAGCTGACAGTCCGCTCCTTTACTCCTCTGGGTCCAACGTTAGCCTGCCTGTCCGCTCTCCAACGAGTTCCTTCTTCTCTGGATTAAACCCCACAAACTGGATCCAAGGAATAACAAAGAGCCCCCCAAAGCGTAATTGCCTCTCCAGCAAAATACAAGCCTCAGTCCTTTTTACCCTCGGTCCCTGAATTGATCATAGTGATCTTCCCTTCAGAGTTTCCGGTTCCGGTTCACCAGTCTGCTGAGGTCCAACATCATAACTCAGCAGAATATCTCTCTCCGTCTGTGTTTCTTTGCAAACCTTCAATAAACCTGTTGACTTTTACCCTTGGTCTCTGAGTGTTTCTCTGCATGTGGGTCAGATCTTTAAAGCCCATTATGACACAGACATTGGGTAGCAGGATTGATGGGTTCTGTGGGATAACCTTAGCTATGCCGTCAGCACGCCTCTGCAGAGCCTGCTGCTCTGTTTTCATCCGTACGTAGCAGTAGGCAGCTTTTTCAACAATCAGGAGTGCCTGTATTTAAAGGAAAAGTCCAGTCATATTCATAATTCAAACTTCTGAAATTACTTTAAGTGTGAAATTATTACATACTGTTCAATAAATAAGTGTTTTTAATTCTGAATGCAGACCAAACAGAAGTTATAGTCTTTGGACCAGAGTCTTTGAAAAAGAAGCTGATTAGTCAGTCACTTCATTTGGATGGGATTAAACTGATTTCAGATAAAGTAAAAAATCTTGGTGTTATTTTTGATCAGGACCTGTCATTTAAATCCCAGATCAAAGAGGTTTCTAGAATTTCCTTCTTTCATCTGAGGAATATTGCAAAAATGAGCAATCTCCTGTCCAGGGGTGATGCTGAGAAATTAGTCCATGCATTTGTTACTTCAAGGCTGGACTATTGTAATTCTTTACTATCAGGAAGTCCACAAACTGTAGTTAAAAGCCTTCAGCTGATCCAAAATGCTGCAGCCAGAGTTCTGATGAAAATGAAAAAGAGAGATCATATCTCTCCTATCCTGGCTTCTCTTCATTGGCTTCCTGTTAAATCCAGAATGGAATTTAAAATCCTCCTTCTCACATATAAAGCCTTAAATGGCCAAGCTCCATCTGATATCAGAGATCTGATTGTTCCTTATGTTCCTAACAGAGCACTTCGCTCTCAATCTGCAGGTTTACTAGTGGTTCCTAGAATTTCTAAAAGTAGAATGGGAGGCAGATCTTTTAGTTCTCAGGCTCCTCTCCTGTGGAACCAACTACCAGTTTTAGTCCGTGAGGCAGACACCCTGTCTACTTTTAAGGCTAGGCTTAAAACTTTCCTTTTTGATAAAGCTTCTAGTTAGAGTGGCTCAGGTTATCCTGATCTATCTCTATAGTTCTGCTGCTATAGGCTTAGACTGCTGGAGGACATAGGGACCCCTTTTTCATCATTCTGCTTCATTCTATCTCTATTCTCCCACTCTGCAGAATCTGTTAGTTCAATCTCTAACGTTCTGCTCTCTCTGCTTTTTCTCATAGTAGCTTCATCTGGTCTGATCCTGTTTGGCTGTGACTCCATCCTGGAGAGAAATATCAGCTGTGCTGCTGCCATCAACACCTTTGTTTCTAGATGTTGGAGCTTGGCCTGTTTTCCAGTGTAGTCCTGTTTCTCTGACTGTGACTAACTGGATGTGCTCTCTTCATCCTCTGAAATGGGATTTGGCTCAGAGTTTGTCTGCCTGGCTGTGTGTTTCCTGGATGGAGCCGCCTTTTACAGTTGCTTTTTGTATCTCTGCTTCTGTCTCCTTGAACCCCAGTCAGCCTCATGTCTCCATCCTTTTGCTGGAAAAAGTAAAGCAGAAACTATTGAGAATGGAGTCAATGGGAATCATCGGCAGAGTTGAAAAGCCAACTGAATGGTGTTCAGGTATGGTTCCAGTGCCAACTAAAAATGGATCAATGCACATTTGGGTTGACCTCACTCACCTTAATGAAGTAGTGTGCCAGAAAAAATACATCCTTACCTCTGTTGAAGAGACACTTGGATCATTGGCTTGAGCAAAAGTTTTTTAGTAAGCCAGAAGCAAACATAGGCTTCTGGCAGGTTCCACTGTCACAAGAGTCAGCACACTACACAAAATGTATGATGCCTTTTGGATGCTTACACTTTAATAGACTGCCAGGTGTGGTTTGTCAAGTGGACGACAGCCTGATTTAGGGTCAAAACCAGCTAGAACACAACACCAAACTTCACACTGTAGTTAAGAAGCTACAAGAGGCCGGAGTCACATTAAATATGGATAAATGTGAACTGATCTGAAATGTGAACACGAAGTAAAGGGTTAGGGTTAGGGTTAACTTGTCCACAGATGAATTTCCACCTGACCTGGACAAAATAAAAGCTGTGAGAGTAATGAAGGAACCGTCAGTGAACTATGCAGTTTCCTTGGGATTGTTAATCAGTTGGGCAAATTCGTTCCAGGACTGGCAGACAAAGATAAGCCCTTATGTCAATGAAAAACCAGTGGGTTTTGTGCTGTGCAGAACAAAAAGCATTTAATCAGCTCAAAAATGATCTGAAGCCGACTCCTGTCCTCACACTTTATGACCCAAATAAAGGGTTAAAAATTTCCCAGATGCCTCATCCTATGGTCTGGGAGCTGTTCTATTTCAAAAAGAGGGTGAGCAGTGGAGACCTGTAGCATATGCATCACGTTCCTTAACAGAGACTGAACAGAGTGTTGCAAAGGTGGAGGAGACGCTTGGACTGACATGGGAATTTGAAAGATTTAAATGCTTTATTATTGGTAGACATTTCTCATTAGAAACAGACCATAAGTCACTTGTCAGGCTGCTAGTACAACAAGCACTTACAGAGCTTACTCCCAGGACCCAGCAGTTCCGGCTCATGAGGTACAGGTACCCTATCTCAAACACTCTAGGTAAAGCTCTGCTTACAGCAGAAACACTTTCACGTGCGCCTTTTAACCAAGTTCCAGATTCTAGAGCTAATGCTGAGCTATTGGTAGATACAAACATTTATGTGGAGGAAATAATCAGAAGCCTACCTACTAACTTAGTGTACATCACACAGCTGAAAGAATAGCTTAAAACAGATGGTATATGTAGAGAATTTATTTCATTTTGTCTGAAAGGCTAGCCAGACTACACCTTTCTTAATGGACCTATTAAAGAATATTGGCCACATAGAGAAACTCTAATGGACTGTTTTGAAAGAAACCAGACTTGATGATCCAACCGCTATGTGGAATTCTGTCCTTGTCCCCCTACATGAGGAACATCAGGGAATGTCCAGATAAAGAGAACACGCCAGAGAGACAGTTTAGTTGCCTGGTCTGAATGGTCAAATCAACAAACTTGTGAAAAACTGCACTGAATGCATAAAATACTGTGCCAACCCTGTGAAGCCTTTAATGCCTAATGAGCTAGAAGAGAAACCCTGGAAGTAGGTTGGCGCAGATGTTTTCACCCTAAACGGCAGTAATTATTTTACTTCTGGACTACTACTCCATGTTTGTGAAGATACCTAAGCTGACTCCTACAAGATCAGAGGATGTCATTGTGCACCTCAAGTGGATATTTTCCAGACATCGAATTCCAGAGCTTTTCTACTGCGAAAACGGTCCCCAGTTCTCAAGCCCGCTGTTCAAAGACTTTTCAGCAGCCGATGGTTTAGAGCTCTTCAGGTGCCATTAGGAGGAAGACGTCACCTATTGCCACCACCTGACTTTACACCAAAGGTGCAATGCCCCAGTAAACCCACAAGTCCTACAGAGGGTGCCTCGCCCACACCAAACCAGCCTGAGAATGAAAGTCAGACCCAAAGACAATTTCCCCAGGTCCTATCAGAACAAGATGTGGTAGAGTTGCTATCAATCCCCAAAAACTGAACTTATGATTTTGAAAAGGGTTCATATAAAGAGTGGTGAAGAAGAAGAAAAAGAAGTGTTCAGCTCACATAAATGAAGAAATTTGACCTTATAAAATTGATGAGTTCAAGAATGATGTGAATGTTCATGTAGTGCATTATTTTCTGGAAAATGGCGTGTGGTGTTATCTGTTATAAACCGTTTTGTTTTATTATGGAGGGTGCTCTGGGTACTTAACATTGGTTTTGAGAGGCTCAAATAAAGTGACGGAGTTGCTTTACAATGGGTTGCCTGGCTTTTTTTTAAACCAAGAACACGACACAAAGTTGGGGGATCCAGCCGATCAGTCACAGATGAACAAAGCAGCCAGCGGGCAGTGAGCAAAGTCAACTGATTGAGTTTATTAATGAAACCGTAGCTGCGCTACAGACAGTAGTCGAGTTGTCAATAAAAGAAAAAGAAGGGGGTGGTGGAATTTTCATTTTATTTTTTGGAAGTATACATAGCTTAATTAATATAGTCTAATAACCTAAAGCACTATGCATGGTCTGGTTGTAACATGTCAGGTACGCCGGTCATTGACCTTGACCAAGAAACCTTGCAGTAGAACTGCAGTCAGTCTGTGGACTGGCATGGCTATCACTGCTGTCCATAGTTAGGGACTTATTTCCCATCAGCTTCATAGGCCACTTCTTGGATTTTACTTTAGAAAAACTTTTGGCAATGAATCTATTAAGATTTAGAACAAAACCTCACAAAACATTAAAAATTAATCCTTTCAAGTCATGTATTTTTTTTTATTCAAATTGAAATAATTAAATAGAAACATCTGAAACTATTTTAGAAATCTGAGAAAACTGCAGACAAATTCGAATTAGCCTGAAAATTTAATAAGCCTATATAAAATCTAATGCTCATCTTTTGCATATTCATTTAGAGTATTTATTTTATAAAATAGACTGTTTATCAGAAAATCAGTATTGCTTCTATTGGCCAATTCAAAGTAAGCTAGCCTACATGCTGGCAATGAATGAATTAAAACTATTCTAACAGGTCGGTGGAGCTGAAGCTATTCACCATTGATTGGACGACAGGCTTTCTGCAAGTCACACGAGTGACCTTGTAGTGAGATGTCAACATTCAATTCATTTATGACCATTGGCCATACATTAACATCACATTTGGCAGTTATTTCAAGATAATAATCTTAAAATGCATCTGAAATTGCTTAATTAAAATGCTTTTTTCAAACTTTCGATTCTCTCCTCCAAGTTTCCTCCTCTGCTATCGGCCACAGTTCCACTTGTCTCACCAACATCTTCTAGATACTGGCTGTCACCTAGCAAAACAGCAGCAGTCTACAGATTCATTTCATGTTCGATTCACAACCAGAATGCAGATTTTGAATGTTCAGAAATGCCTGTACACTCTAGACTAATTGCCA